TTCGCTATTTGGTTTGAATATTCAACAATCTGCAGTCTTCGACAGTTGTTTACTAACAAAACACAACTAAAATAGCGGAATATTTTATTGCTTCTGTTATTGCTACATATTATAGTTAATTTTCTGTTTCAAAAAACTCTCATTTGTTGTCAATCTCGTTCCGGAATTTGACAGGTAAGCCTTTTGTCATCAAAGAGAGTGCCTAATCTGCGCAAGTGCGTTTATTTATTCAAAAACAATGTATAGGAGCGTACAGTTGATTTAGAGTGTGTAATCACATGGATAAAATTGTCTTAGATATTCTGTTAGGCAAAATCCTATTGAAATCGAGTTAATCCGCAAGCATTATTTGAATTTCAAACCATTTGGCACTTTGGCGCATCCTTGAGGATGAAAAGAACACGCACTGTGAAGCCTCGTCGAATGCTGATAGTGATCCATTTCAGGCTCTTTTCAAAAATGGTCTTTTCTACTATTACGATCCGCAGACATTTCTCTCACGTTTGGGAGATGGGGCTCACCTGACAACAGTTGGTCTCGAATTGCTACGACCACAGTACACTAAAATCATTGAGAGATTACTCCACACGCTTCTTGAGCATTGATCAAAGTGCTGCAATAGTGCTTGTAGCGATGTATCATGGTCTGTTATAACAACGAGGAAATAAACGGAGAAAACTGCCTTCAAATTGACGAGATCCCCAAACTCTGTATTTGATGGCGTATGGTTCATTACGCTTAACTCTAGGACATCATTAATTATTCCTTTTTTTATCTTCAGAAGTAGAACTCGGCATGCCAAGAACAAACAGTCGATTTCAACAAATTTGTTTGGGTAAGGGTGTCTGGGTTAGCAACGTGTGGTGCACTAAAAGTTTGGCATTGTGTTAACTATGATGAATTTGAATACGTACAGTGATGGAAATGTCCTACACATTCTGCAAAAAACTGGTCAATCTGGGTTCTAGAAGCAATCAGGCTTATACGAACTCGTAGACAATGCGTCACTAAAGTTTGACTTACTGAACTTTAAAAGCAGCCAGAACTTCAAGTGTCAGATCGGGCTTCGAAATCAAAAGCCTGGAACGCCTCCAAGCTGCTCTGAGAATATGTCAACGACGAAGAATCGGTTTGTCAGAACTAGCGGGATTTGCTGGTGTCGATGTTGGCGTTTGACTGGTAAAAAATCGTACCATCGATGGGGATTAAGCTCAAAATAGAAAGCTTCTAGTTGAATGAGTATCAATGTCGCGATTGGCATATGAAATTATCCCCTCTTGAATCCATTTGCTTGAGTCTGTAATAATTTGCATCGCCGCTTATAAAATACCTCCCGTATATTCTTTATTACATATAATGGCAACATTCGGCAGGCAGTGGCTTACATCGTGGCTTATACACAATTCACAGTAGAACCTTTCTGACGTTTCCTTCTCCACTAGTGTGTTTAGGACTGCAGTATCACTTTGATTTCGTTTTTTTTAATCAAACCAAAGGGTTCGAATTTGAAATTTGTTAGGAAGCTTCTATTTTTTATTTGCAATTTTTCCACACTCCCCCCCCCCCCTCCTCCCTCTTTCACACCTTTTCAATATGAACATTTCAAATAAGGGTGTTCATTCTCAAATAAGTTAAGCACAGAGACTTGCCTGCAATACCACAACTCTGTCAGTTCCATCGTTCTACGAATAATTAGAGTCTGTTTCTGATGAGGACTTAAGGGAGGTCTTACATCCATATGGTACCACCACATACACGTAATTCTAAAAAGGTGCAATAATTTACGCCTTTTTAGGGCTTCCGCTCTCATTTGTATGGATCACTAGGCACGAAGGGGTACCATATCTTCAAAAAAAGACTTTGCCAGAGATTACATTTTATCTCTGAAAAAAGTGGTAAGAGTTTGACAGAATGCAATCCTATTTCCCTACTCGAAAAAAGTGGTGGTTGTGCGGAAAATGTGGGAATTATGCAGCACATGCTCATAGTGGATAAGCATGGTTTTTTACTCGCAATTTTCTAAAGCAATGATCTGCTTGCTCAAAGACAGCGCTTTCTTGAGCATAACAAGGTTGAGCTGCATTTTGCGTTGACATACATGTGCTTTGAGCAGTAGTAAACACAAATGATGTACAAGATTCGAATTGAAACAAAAGTCAAATAGTTCCATAAGAAAGAGTGTCCATTACAGCAATGAACAAAGTCGAGCAGGGGGTGTGGCACACAACCTCCGAGTACGATTCACCCTAATTTTTGCCCAATACTATTTTCTTCCCCCCTCCCCCCTCCTTCAGCATTAATTTGCCCACCGTCGGATGACATAAAGTCTTTTACCAACCAAAATCAGAAACATATGCGTAATTATTATGTCAAATAACCCCTGTGGGCCAAGTTTTAGCAAATTCTGGGGGTTCTCATATTGGGCCGCTTAAGTGAAGTGGCTACCTTCAAATATGGACTTTTTTGAAAGTGAATTAGCTACCTTTTCTGTACTCTTTACAAAGCTCTAATCTGTCCTTGCCCACGTCATAAATCTTGTTTTCAAGAACCATCAAAGTACAAAAATAAGAGCCAGCCAAAATCTCATTTGTCCCACTTTCGCTTATAGTGGTTGTGCTTCCAGCGACTACAGCTCAAACGATAGAAGACGGATTAAACTCTATCACTCCTATGAAAACTACGAAATTCTGGCTATAGAAGTGTTTGTAATTTTCGTTTGAACTTGCTGAGCGTCGACCAAGATATTACACACACTTTATTCACGGCCAACGTTTCGGCGGGATCGTTTTCGTCAGAGCCCAAAAAGTCGAAAACATAAGTGAAATTTCCTCCTAGACGCCAAGATTCCAGCTCAAGACGAAAGTCAAATTGGAGAGAGGCAAAGGCAAAGGGATCGGGTAAACAAGACTCACCTTTAATAACGTGTGATGATGTGTTAGACCACCATATACTCAGACTATACCTCCTCCCCTATTTATAGCGCTTGGGTGACCTGACCTCATATCAAAACCCACAGAGGTATTGATATGGCGCCAGTTCATTGGTGATGGCTATGCACTCTTCCTTCCGGTTCATCTTTGGATTCTTGGCGATCCAGACGCTTCCAAAGTTGGCGCGCTAGGAGGTCGGGCTCGTACGCAAATATAGTCGCTCGAATGCTAAGGTCAGCATTTTCATGGCACGAAATGCAATGGCTGCCTAACGGCGTAACTGCTTTCAGTTCGTTCGACCCATCCAGATGTTCTTTAACGCGGCAGCAAAGGTGTCGTCCTGTTTCTCCGATATACGTATACGTATCACCACACGATAAGCATGTGATGAGATAGTAACCCCGGAGATCATGCAATCACCCTCTTTGCCAAATGGGCAAACGACAAAGCTGGAGTTAGGCATGTACGATCGTAAGATCGATTTCTGACCAATTGACGCTTTAGGTTCGAGGGTAGTATATCGACCACCCTGACATCGTCTCGCAAACCGCGAGATGTGCGCATCGCCGCACTGCCGCTCTTATCTTATCCGATACGAACAGCAAGCAGAAAGAAATTTTAATAAGTGACGCGTCCGGGCTGCTGGAACTGGCTCTGCGTCCTACAAACTCGCGAGGGTTTGAGATAGGCTCACCAGCATACCCATTAAACTTAGTTACTTGATAGCTAACCCTATAGGGTAGATTCGCTCTTGCATGCCCAAAGACACTTTTGCTGCTGTCCGATACATGTTCTTTATAACCGCCTTTATAAGCTTGCTGGGATGTGCAGACTTTCTAGGCTCTGACGAAGGCGATCCCGCCGAAACGTTGGCCGTGAATAAAGTGTGGCTAATATCTTGGTCGACGCTCAGCAAGCTCAAACGATTATCAACTATCGATGCAAGATTAATAAACAACTGAAGTTGGACAATGTTTGTAATTTGTTCGCTAAAACTTTTTTGGAGGTAAGTCAATGGACGGAAGTGGCACGACTCCAGAAAGGCTGTGGCTCCCAAACTTTTTAGGGACTGTGCCACTACCCATTTGAAGCACGCAACTATTGTGTTTTCTTACTGCTTAATCTTCTCCTCTACAAAGCAGGCACTCATTAAATCGTTTTTTCTAGATAAAGTTATGGTACTTTTTCCTTACTTAGGCAAATAGAAAATACTGCGGAAATATCGGGTTACGGTAACATGCTATGCGTGCGCTACTACTTGAATTGCGAGGGAATGCGACGAGAATGAATTTGTACGAGTCTAAATCTCCTAATCTACACAAAAGCGATTTGAGCCTGATAGTTTTTTCTAGTCTGAAATATTGAAAGCGAAATTGGAATAAAAAAGATTTGGCTTGCTCTTAATTCCTTGAATTGGACGTTATCTGAAATGGGATTCCTAATGTGAGCAAAGAAGTAGTAGTACGTGAATTAAGCGCAAAAAGTATAATAGTTAATTTAAGACTTGAAACAATTTCAAGATGTTAAAAAATGACCAGCTTACTTCTGCGGCCCAAAATTTGGGCTCAGGAATCCCTAAAACTTGGCCCAGTGGAGTTATTTGACATGCTTTTAAGAAAAAAATGCTCTTATGCTTCTAGGAGTTCTTTTATATTATTTTTGGTCACCATCGCTTACTATATGTATACGATGGTGGCCAATAGATAGATGTGTTAGTATTTTGCATAATGGATCTATCTGACATCGTTAACGAATATTATGTTATCGCTACATCAGAATCACTTCAATAAGCCCGCCTCCCTCCCTGACCCCTACATACGACCGTCGGGTGTGGCGTGCCACACCCCAAGTTTGACCGTGGCGATAAACAACTCCATACAATTGTGAGCAGAGATTATAATCTTCATTATCGAAGTATGACACTTGCATCAAACTCAAACGCGGATAACATTGAAAAAAATAAACTACAATACAAGAACAAGCATTCAAAACCGAAACTTAGCGAACAGTTTCCCTTAAAAAATAAAATCTAAACACTTATAGTAGGAAATAATCAATGTCACTCAAATTGTGGTTTAACAAAAAATTGCATCAAGATAGAAAATCAGTTTTTTGCTCAGTCTCATATAGAAGATATAGTCTTGAGCAATCATTCGATAGTTTTTTTTAAGATCGACTTCAGTTCACTGTTTTGAACAGATACTTAATTACACATTGTTTGTCCGAGAAATTCAGAAAGTATAGACGCAAGTGTTTCGTTTGCACAGGCCGAAAAAAAGCATAACGATTGTCTTCCAACAACTTGAAGAAAGATAAAGTTTTTAAATAATTCTTTCTTCTCTTCGTTTGGACTATGGATCTGCAATAAAAGCTAATTAAAGGGTGTAACTCTATACAGACAGATAATTTTACTTGATCAGGCACAGGATCGGTAGTTACATGAAGGTGCTAAAAAACCAAGCCGAGGTTGTACCGAAAACACACGAGAAACAAGGTCCGGCACCGAGATTGGCGTCATCTTCAACAAGTTGCTGCACGACTGACGTGCACAGACACGTTTGGTCAAGGCGTCATGTTTGAAAAGCAAGTTTTTCAGGAGTAAACGATTGCCTCGTTTACAGCGCACGCGTGACGAGATGACACCACTGGTTTAAAAATGGACAAGGGCTAGGTAGAAAACTGTGAAAGATTCCTGTTACTGAAATTGTGGCAAGCTTTTCCTAAAAATTTTCATTGGTGTTTAGTGAAAAACTCGTGGCTACAAGTGCGATGTGGCGAATAAGCAAAGCGTGAAATCATATGAGAAAGTTTTGTGAATGAAGGACTCTCAACTCTTTTTCCTAAAGCAGAGTGTCAATGCCTCAATACCATCATGAAGTTGGCAAAACCCTGAATTCACACAGCTTCTTCATAATCTTTCTGTAAATTTAATTTGGATGCTTTTCCGCTGTCCGGACCCATTTTTGTAAGAAAGTTGTTGCTTTTTCCTCGTACCAAATTTTGTTCCAATTTTGCAAAAAGGAGTGTCAACCTCTTGCTAGATGTCGAAAGTATTAGGTAGTCCAAAAAGTTCTTGCGCCGGATTTTCAAAAAATTATAACTTCCTTTCTTCTCAACGATTTTTCTCAAAATTATATTTATATGAAAGAGGAAATCTTTTCCTTTATAGCAATGCCTTTGCCATAAATTAGTGTTGGTAAGTTCGAGAGTTAAAAGCAATTGAAGGAAATTATTCAAGATCGAATTTTTCAAGCTGGATCACGAAAAATTCTGCAAGTATTTTGTTTGATAGAGAAAATTTTGCACATTACGGAGGTACCTTTTTCATGAATTAAGACGAAGAAGATCGAGAGTTGGAAGCAAATAAAGAGAATTTCTTCACTTTTGCAATTTTTGAGCATGCTCAAAAAACCTTGAAAACGTCACAGAGAAGGCGAAAAAGTCATAATCATGGGTTTTGTGACCTTCCCCTTCTAGGTGAGCAAAAATCGCGCCAATCGGGAGCAATTTTGATTTTCGTGATTTATCGGATTTTCGAGTCTGCGTTTTTCATGAAAATCAAAATTGCTCTTGATTAGCTCGAAACTCACTCAGCTAGAAAGGGAAGGTCACAAAACCCATGTTTATGACTTTTTCGCCTTTTCTGTGAGGTTTTCAAGCTTTTTTGAGCATGCTTAAAAATGGCAAAAGTGAAGAAATTCTCTTTATTTGCTTCTAACTCTCATCTTTTTCGTTTTAATTCATAAAAAGGTACCACTGTAATGTGCAAAATTTTCTCTATCAAATAAGAGTACTTGCAGAATTTTTCGTGATCCAACTTGAAAAATGTCGATATTGACTAATTTGCTTCAATTGCTTTCAACTTTCGAACTTACCAATGCCACTTCATGCCAAAAGCACAGCTATAAAGAAAGAGGTTTCCTCTTTCATATAAAAATAATTTTGAGAAAAACCGTTGAGAAGAAAGGAAGTTATGATATTTTGAAAATCCGGCGCAAGAACTTTTAGGACAACTTAATATATTGGCATGTCATTTACATTCAAAATGTTTCAACAAGAGCTTTGTGTCGCAGACCCACCAACGTATGTTCACTCTATTTATAATCGAAATCGGCGTATTCCATTCTCTTTACAGGGGTTAATTGGCATGCTAATCATGGATATGTTGCCCGTTATGTTTGGCAGGGCCTTTAAGTAATGTTATCTCAGGTATATAGCTCAGAGGGTCTTATTGAGACAGCAATAAGAGAGGAAGGGGGTCGTAACCAGCGATCATTTGCCACACCTCATGCTTAACCCTGTGTACAAGCCGCATTTTCCGATTTTTGTTCGATCTCCTGAGGATCCTGGCTGTAGGGGGCTTTCATAATCTTTCGTCGCCGCTGATACTGACAGTGTTACAAAAAGGTCAGAGGGGGGATGGGAAGGAAGGGTGTGAATGAGTGAACATGTTGGTTACGGAAATACAGTGGATTTAGGAAATTGGCATATGAAAATGAGACAGAAACACAGAAATGATATGCAGGATGAATGGGAATAATAATCTATGTCAGATTATATTAGGTTGAACCGAAAGTTCGTTCGCACCATGTTCAAAAAATCATAACTTCTTTCCGTCACGACGATTTTGCGCAATTTAAGCATTATTAGAAAGCGAAAGCATGTAGTTTCCAATAGTTTCCTGGTGACTTTCCAGCATGTTCAGATTGCAGAGATAAAAATGAAAGAACGAAAACATCCGAAATTCGGAATTTTTGAGAAACAACTCCAAAAATCTAGAAACTGCGCGATAAAATCCAGAAAAGCCATTTTCCTAATTTTTCTCATTTTGATTACTAACTGAGTTAAGTTTGTGCTGATCGAGCTCTTCTTTCAAAAGTTATGATTTTTTGAAAAAAAATGCCGGAAAATCAATTTCTTAGGAATTCTTAGGAAAGATTTTTCAAAATTTTTTTTCAAAAAATCATAACTTTTGAAAGAAAAGCTCTATCAGCACAAACTCAACTCAGTTAGTAATCAAATATAAGAAAAATTAGGATAATGGCTTTTCTGGATTTTATCGCGCAGTTTCTAGATTTTTGGAATTGTTTCTCAAAAATTCCGAATTTCGGATGTTTTCGTTCTTTCATTTTTATCTCTGCAATCTGAATATGCTGGAAAGTCGCCAGGGGACTATTGGAAACAATATGCTTTGCGCTTTCTAATAAAGCTTAAATTGCGCAAAATCGTCGTGACGGAAAGAAGTTATGATTTTTTGAACATGGTGCGAACGAACTTTCGGTTCAACCTAATAGTATTTTCTAACACAAACCACTTTGCTCCTTGTTCGACAGGGAACGGAGCCGTGCTAGAAGATAATATAATTTTCCTTCTACAGAATCTGACCTCCATATTGGACTGGCAGATTGTTATTCCATATTGATCCAGTTTCCCTCCTCGGTAAAAGTACGGAAATAAACCATACTCCGCTCCTTCTGCGTCAATCCAAAGGGCGTCGTACACCTGCAGCTTACCTGTTACTCTGAGTGAATCAAATTTAGAAAGCTTACTGTATATCCTAAAATTTCCTTGAGAAAATAGGCTAAATCTAAATGAAAGACGCTGCGCATCTTGTAAGATCCTGAAATTTCTGACTGCGTCACGTAGCTTTGGGAATGTTGTGCATACTATTGATCAGAACACTTGCGCTTGAAATTTGCGATTTCGATCCAACTGCAAATGGAAAGAATGTGCCAAACTTGTTGTAGAGATCCTCGTTAACTTCGTGATCGGGATCCGCTCCAAAGAAAAGTGAACCTTCTGGCAACACCTAAAGAGGAGCTTATGTCAGAAATTTGACAAGTACCAAGACCAAAAAGTACATTTTAATCTCAATTTAGATATGCCCATTTTCGAAAATTTATAAATTCTAATTTCAGGATTTGAATAGGTTTGACTTCAATCTTAAAAAAGATTACGCGCTTTTTAAAAACTACGGAGAATTTCTAACACGCGTACACAGCAGAAATAGAAGCCTTAGAGAATACTCAAATTTGTTTTAAAGGCAGTGTCCGGGCAAAAACTCGATTTTGAGATTTTGTGCTTATACGGGCCTATTCGCCATGCTGAATCCGAAAATCCACATTGGAAAGTGCGAAAAAGGCAAAAAAGGGCTCTAACACAGGAGGGAAATCAGCAGGTGGGCGAGGCATTTCCCAGTGCGATTTCACACTCCCAGCTCCCGGAGCGATTTTCTCGATTCCGCTGGCCGTCCTAACATCGCTACCGGTCAAGTGCGAATGATTGATTTGAAACCGGAAGTGAGAAGGTCGCTCTGGAAGCCGGGAACGTGAATTCGCAGTGGGGAGGACTCCGCCCACCTGCTGATTTCCCTCCTGTGTTAGAGCCATTTTTCGCCATTTTCGCACTCTACAATGTGCATTTTCGGATTCAGCGTAGCGAATAGGCCCAGGTAAGCACAAAATCTCAAAATCGAGTTTTTGCCCGGACACTGCCTTTAAGTACAGAGTTGCCAAGAAAACTGAAAAACGCACAGAAGTAGGAGCAGTTGGTCAAAATATATCTTTGCAAATTTTATGAGACAGATCTCAAATTCCAAAAAAGCTTTGAACAAGTTTTCGGGCTTTTTTTGTTATATTGCCTATTCAATATACACCCCTCCTCATCCCGGCAATTGAATATGACATATTGAACACATTTCGAGTTCATTTTACGCTACATGACTTTTTCATACCTTTTTCAAAGCTTCTTCAGCACGCGTATCACGTCCAATTCCCAGTGTTACAATTATACTGGGTGTTTGCTGTAATACCAATATAACAAAACTCAATCACCTCCATATGTCGTTTTCGACCTAATTTTCTCATGTCCTTATTAGGGTGCTATAGAACTTATATGGTTTTTTCATTTTAAGGATCGCAAGCAAGGGTTACGTAAAATCGTAGCTTCAGAATGGAACATAAGTCTACCAATATATACAGTGCTGGACATAATTATACAGCCACTCTAGAAATCGTCGTAATTTTTGTTCTTGTCAATGAATCTGTCTAAAACTTTGCTGTATTGTGCGCATGTCAACCTACCATAACCCCTCAAAACGGCTTCCAGTCTTGTTGAGTTTGAACGGAGAAAAACGAAAAAAATCGAAAAAGCCCTCTTTGAAAGCTGGACAAAATTATACAGCCACCTGGTTTTTCTAATCACTATCGCATTCGTTGACTCTCAAATTTCTTTGTACAATTACATTCCAAAATATGAAACTTGCGACACTTACGGCCTCTCATCCTACTCAAGTAGAAGCGATCACTGCATTTCGTGCTTCTAAAAGCATTAAAAGTCAATCTCCTTCAACAAACAACTGCTCTAAAGAGTTTTCAAGCTCTTGTTCATTCCAAATGATAATCATGGAATCTTCTGACCCTTTTGGATAGATGAGGTGAAGAGCGCTTTCGTAAACTCTGCGTAATCGCTGATTTTGACGGACAGACTCCAACCTCACCATAGGGTTGACGCACTTTTGCACCACGAAACTCGATTTTCAAGCGACAGAAAATACTGTAATGTAGCCATTACGACAGCCATACAACAGTGAACTCGTGTGCAAGACTGGGAAGAAATTTCGGGACTGAGCACTCTGATTCAGCCGCAGTTGACATTCAGTGAATGTTGAATGGAGCACCCTGTACAATCAAAGCCAACTCAGATCCCGAGATAAAACCGGAGACGCTTAAAACTTCAAAATCTTAGCTAATCTCATTCATCGGGTGAAATATGACATGAAACGCAGACGGAAATAAGGAGATCTAGGGTTATATCGAATCTTCCGCACGCAGGGAATTTTTGTGGAAAGTATTCCAGGTTTAAATCGCTACCGCATCATTAGGAAAAATCTGAAAGTTGTTGCGAAAGCTGTATCCCCCTGTAGACAATGTGATAAATCAAGTTCAGCACTTTGTGAACATTGCAAACTGAGTTTTGTGGTTTAAAAGCTTTCCAAGTCTATGTTGAGGTTGGAGTCTGTCCGTCAAAATCAGCGATTACGCAGAGTTTACGAAAGCGCTCTTCACCTCATCTATCCAGAAGGGTCAGAAGATTCCATGATTATCATTTGGAATGAACAAGAGCTTGAAAACTCTCCAAAGCAGTTGTTTGTTGAAGGAGATTGACTTTTAATACTTTTAAAAGCAAAAGATGCAGTGATCGCTTCTACTTGAGTAGGATGAGAGGCCGTAAGTGTCGCAAATGTTTCATATTTTGAAATGTAATTGTGCAAAAAAATTTGAGAGTCAACGAATGCGATGGTGATTAGAAAAACCAGGTGGCTGTATAATTTTGTCCAGCTTTCAAAGAGGGCTTTTTCGATTTTTTTAGTTTTTCTCCGTTCAAACTCAACAAGACTGGAAGCCGTTTTGAGGGGTTATGGTAGGTTGACATGCGCACAATACAGCAAAGTTTTAGACAGATTCATTGACAAGAACAAAAATTACGACGATTTCTAGAGTGGCTGTATAATTATGTCCAGCACTGTATTAAAACTGCATCAAGTTGAATTTTTCCTACTTACGTATTTTTCTTTATTTGAAAAAGTTGAGGTCAGGAGTCACAATTAGCTCAAATTTTTCGTGAGCGGTGCCGCGAAGCGAGGTACGGCTTTTGCCAGTATTCCTGGCGATGTTACCTATGTGCTTGAAAATTCGTAGCGTGTTGACGGCGTTCAATGTTTCATGTAAGCGGAACACGTAACGCCGTTAAGAAGAGTCGTACGCTGCTCGCATGCTACGAAAGACTGCAATTTCACCCGATTTTTAGAATTGCAACATTAACTGATTTGGAAATTGCGTGAAAGAAAGTCCCTACCATTTCGATCGATGGATTTTAATCAATGGAATCGGAGGGCATGACTCCAACAGCACTTACATGGGATCCTCTCGGGTCAGCTCGATAAGAGCAACAGTTTAACCTATTACTCGTCAAGTATCAACGATTTTTAAAGGCAGTAGATCGGCAGAATGAGACCCGTGACAGAACAGAATCACGGGGTAGGAACCCCCATGTGGAACCTATCGGCCAAGGTCCGATCTTTCTGTGCCACTTCTACCGCTTCGGGATTTCGGGGGTTGGAGGTGGCGGGGGGAGATCGGACTTTGGCCGATAGGTCCCATATGGGGGCTCCCACCCTGTGACCTTGTTTTGTCATGGGTCTCATCCTGCCAATCCACTGCCTTTGACCAGGACCATAAACGCTGAGCCAATTCAGCCAGCGTCGTACTCCACGCGGGTACTGCCTGCGTTTACAGCGTGGGGAATAACGGAGCATACGATTGGACGCCGTTCGCCTGCTTCCGTTAATCGTACGCTGCTCGCTGTACAACGGAAGCCGATGCCATGAATTTTTAGTCCTCTACAAGGCCAATTTTTACGAAATGCAACACTTGTCATGCAAAAACTACAAGGAAGGGAAGCTGAATGTGATATTCACTAAAGATGAGCTCTCGCATTAAGGAAAAGAAGAATATGCCTTTTATTATATATGTTTGACAGGGCCCCGCATCAAGGAAACACAAACTAATGAGAAACAGCATCTGATAGGGCAACATATACCAGGTCGGCGCGAAAGTTCTTGCGTAATTTTAACAAAATTATACGACTTTCAATCATTACAATTTAACTTGATTATAAAAATGGTGAAGGAATTCCTCTAATGGATCTTTAATCGTAAATTCCCATAAGCTAGCTACCGAAAAGGAAGCTTATTGCAAGCATGGCGATCCATCTTTTGTAATTTTGAGTTTGGTGCTGCCTTTTTTACAAGGTTGAGAAACAAAAATTTTACTCAAAAAAATCCAGGTCGTAGCTTTTTGACTTGCACAGGTCGCATCGATAAAACTTTGAAAGAAAACTATCCAAATTTCGAATTTTCAAATTTATTCGCAAAAAATTTGAATTTTTCCTTGAAAACCGAGCAGCCAGTACTATACTACAGGCTTTACTGTTTGCTTTCTCCAATGAACACGCGCGGATTGGTTCTGTCTATGAAAAGTTTTGGCTTTCAAAAAAAGCCAAAAAATTGAAATTTGGTATAAACTACTTGTTAAATCATAAACTTTTGTACAAAAAAATTAGTCCGCGCAAACTTCGTCTGCTAAAAAGAGCAATTGATAAAGCTTGTAATAGTGACTGCTCGGATTTTCAATGCAAGATTTGGATTTTTTACGATTAACTCCAAAAAAATTTGATTAAATTTCTTTTGCAGCTTCTATCAGCCCTGTTACGAAAAACTGAACTTTTGTTGTGAAACAAATTGATGGCAAGCGAATACATTCAAAAATCAAAAAGTTATGAAGTTTTGAAAACAATGCCACAGAACTTCCGCTTCAACCTAAGAGTTGAGTGCCTGCACGCGCGAATTGGCGTCAATAGAAGTTTTCTTATTTGCTCCTAAAATACATAAGACTCTACCATACAGACAAAGGTTTACAGATTTTCTTTGACAAGATACTCTTCAAAAGGCAGGTCATCTAATAAACAACCAATGTCTGTTACTAAATGCTGCTATGGTAGATTGGATAGGTATTAGGTTAAAAAGAAAAAAATTACTTTTTTTTACAGAAAAGCAACAAGATCTAAAAATAATGTGAGGGGTACCTTTCGATACAGCAAATTAAGCTCTGCTGGCCTTTGAACACTTGTGTGAGTTGTAATTTACGCAAAATTGCAAGCCGAAACATATGAGCAAATCATTATGCAAAAAACGGATTTTTGCTCAAAAAATTTCACGAAGTTTTAACTTGCTCCTGCATGTAAACGAACACGAGCTTATCCTTATCTACATTTGCTATGATTTTTCGTAGTTAGACCTCTCGTTTATGCAGCAGTATACCACAAACCTCGTAAGCTTTGTCCAGAAAATTTGGTTCTACTAAACGCTTTAGTTTTCGAGAAATATCAATTCTAGCATGAAAAACACAAAAAGCGACTTTCTTTCAATCTAAGACAAAGAAGACTTTGTGGTTTTTTTTCATGTTCTCCAGTTGCCCTCCTTTGTATTTTTTCAAATGGCACCATCTCCATAGTGGATGAATATTCGTTCTCATTAAAGTCATTCAAGAATGTTTATTTTAAAAACTTGCAACGTTCAATTAAAAAGATTAGGGAGCTCCTAGACCGCGTCACCGATTTTGCACCCGTTAGCCACTTTTGCGCCGGTTGCCGCTATTGCAGCCGAGATCGACGAGGGGGGGGGAGACCATTGATCAATCTATTTCTCTCTGCTTTTTCAACATTTTCCTAAGATTTCTGTTATGAGCTGGTTCATATACAAGTTTCTGGAAGTGATTGTTCCAAGCTTGAAACATCGCCGTTGAGACAGATGCGCTAAGTATTGCCTACATTCAGCTGGGGTTACAGAGAGCTTTATTCAATGCGCTTTTCCCACTTTTTATTAGGCTCAAATTTCATGCTTTTGTGAGTGATGTGGTTTGAAAAGCTGACAGCGATATAGAAGAGCGTTTGTGCAAATCCATGGTGATGCATGGACGTAAGCATGACAAAACCGCATCATCCGCAATAAATATGAAACTTGAGCTAAACACAAACACGAGATGGAGTAGCGAGGCACAACACAAGTTTTTGAGGTGTTTACGCTCAACTTCAATGTTTGTTGTGGGTGATGAGGTTCTCTCGCTTTCCCATGCAACAACACAAATTTGCACAAATGCTCTTCTATATCTAGCTTTACAAACCACATCACTCACAAAAGCATGAAACTTGAGCTCAATAGAAACTAGAAAAAAAAACGCGTCAATCATCCTACTCTGTAACTCCAGCTAAATGTGGCAATACTTAGCGCATCTTTCAACGGCGATGG